CATCAGACTTTGCTTTTTTTAGGACAGTTTTATTTTGACAACAAAATTAGACAAAAGATACAGAGATTTTCCATGTACTCCCTAACCCCACACAAGCCTGGACTCCCCCTTTATCAACATTCACCCCACCCAAGAGGGAGACTTTTTCCAAAGGATGAACTTACACCAACACATCATCAATACCCACTCTAAGTGCACATTCTGTATCTACATTACAGTTGTTCCTAGGGCTTGCAAATGTCTGGTACATACAAGAGTGTGGAGAGATCTGAACATTCTGAAGAGACGAAATTGTTATACATCAGTGTTTTCTTTAAAAAAGGTTGAATAATGGACTTCCTGTGTAGCAGGAAGTCGGTTTAGTGGCGTGCAGGCGACAACTTAGCTACCTCAGTGGACACAACCAGAGTTGAGATATAAATGACTGGAAGGAATGAGGCATCTGGGCTGTTTCCTGGGTGACAGTGATGGCAGGGAGGAGGCAGCGGCCCAGTGGAAAGGAAAGTCAAAATGGCAAAAATGAGTTCATACTCGTGTCAAGCAAGGAGAAGGGACACAGAGTTAAGAACAGGCTCTTCTTTTCTCATCCTTGATGCAGCTACATGTCTCCTTTGCTTTCCCCAGCAGACACACACCCAAAAGATATGCTTTTTAAAAATTGATTATTCTGTGACATGCTATGGCAAATAATTGCTTCACTCAGTTTCTTGCTTGTCAACAAGTCCAGACATTTGTCAGATGGTAACAATGAGCAGGATGCTGGTGGGCAAGGAGGCCACAAGTCTTAGCTGCTAATGGGCTCTTAGTCTTTTTTTCTTTTATTAAAGATTTATTTATTTGTGCACACAGAACTGGGGCACAGGCCAGAGGTGCAGGGTTGGTGAGAGGATTCACCAGACACAGAGTGGGGAGCAGAACGGGCTGACTGACAAGTACACTGATGAGGGGAGAAGCGGGCAGGTCAGGAGAGGTCTGCTGTGCCCTGTGGGTCACCTCCAGGGTGGGGAATCGAACGCATACGGAAGCAAGCATGGCTAGCTTGCTGTGCTGTGCTCAACCCACTGCACCGCCAGGGAGGGCCAGGCTCACAGTCCTGAGGAGGAAGAGCATTTCATCTAGAAAGAACTCCAGTGCCAGGTGAAAAGTGTTATACAGGGGTAGAAAATAAAAAAACAGCTACTTTTTTAATTATTATGTTATTATTTTAAAATAGAATAGTTTACTTTTACATCATTTTGTGCATTCTTCCATCTCAGTTGTAATCCCCTTGGGTTTCCCATCACCAAATGACCCATGTGCCATCACCATAGTCCAGTGCATTTCCCTCCCCCACCCCTGTTTTTGATCCCATTCCCCACTCCACCCCCACAAAATGTCTCTGGTATATGGTTGTTCATTATTTTTGTTATTTTCTCGCCTGGTTCATTATAGTCCTGCTATGAATGAAACCATCCGGTATTTTTCCTTTTCTTTCTGGCTTAGTTCACTAAGCATGATCTTTTCCAGCTCCATCCATGTTGCTGCAAAAGACATGTGTTTGGTTTTTTTGGTTACTGAGGAATATTCCATTGTGTATATGTACCACATCTTTTTGATCCAGTCATCCACTTTTGGGCATTTGGGCTGTTTCCATATCTTTCCAATTGTAAAAATAAAGCAGCAATAAACATGGGGGTGCAGGTGTCTTTTTGAGTCAGTGTTTTTGTGTCTTTTGGGTAGATACCTAGGAGTGGGATTGCTGGGTCGTAGGGAAGCTCCATGTTTAGCAGTTTGAGGATCCTCCAAACAGTTTTCCATGGTGGTTGTACTAGTTTGCATTCCTACCAGCAGTGCAGGAGAATTCCTTTTTCCCACATCCTCGCAAACATTTGTTGAAAAACAGCTACTTTTTATTGAGTCCTTTCTCAGTGGTGGACTCTGACTAGTGTCATAACTGATCACCCCAACTCTGTAGGGTAAGAAATGACATTCCCACTTTCCAGATGAGAAAGCTAAGCATGGAGATGCTAACTTGTTTGTTCAAGGTCAAGGATAAAGGAAGTTCGGATGCAGGGGCAATGTTTTCTCCATTAGGCATTGAAAATCAGTCAAATATAGAAATAAAGGAAAGACTTTCTAGATAGAGCAAAATGTGGGCTCAAGAGCTGGAAGTTTTTTTTTTTTTTTTAGATTTATTTATTTATGTGCACAGAACTGGCGTACAGGCCAGAGGTTCAGGGGCACTGAGAGGATTCATCAGAGACAGAGGGGAGCAGAACAGGCAGATCAAGTACACTGCTGAGAGGAGCAGTGGGGAGAGAGGAGAGGTATGCTGCGCCATGTGGGTCACCTGCCGTACCTGGGATCTAGCTCAAACTGAGGCGGCTATGCTAGCTGGCTAGCTTCATAGTGCTTCAATCTGTTGCGCCACCAGGGAGGGCCAAAAGCTGGAAGACTTTAAAAGTATTGCTTGTTTAGGAAAAGTAAGATTCTCCAGTGCTGGGGTACATGTGGCATTAAGGCAGGGGAGGTGACAGAAACTGAAAAGTGTCATTCAATATCATGGCGGCTGCCTTATCTTGTGGGCAAGAGCATTTGAAAGCGCTAGGACTAAATCTATAGTTTAGAACGGTGTTGTCCAGTATGGTAGCCCTTTACTCTGGTTTCTCTTCTGATTATGTAACCAATATGGTTGACATCCGGGCCATATGTGGCTACCATATTTGAAATGCATTAAATTTAAAACCCACCCTAGTCACATTTAAAATTCTCAGTTGCCACATGGGGTAGTGGCCACCCCATTGAATGACACAGATATAGAACCCTTCTATCATTGCAGAGCGTTTTAAAGAGCAGCTACCGTACAATGATAACTTGTGTAGCAATGTGAGATAAGCCAGAAAGAGAAAGAAAAATACCGGATGGCTTCACTCATAGCAAGAGTATAATGGACCAGACGAGAAAATAATAAGAATAATGAACAGCCATATACCAGAGAGGAGACATTTTGTGGGGGTGGAGTGGGGAATGGGATCAAAAAGGGGGGGAGGGGTGAAGGAAGTGCACTGGACTATGGTGATGGCACACGGGCCTCGGTGATGGGAAACCAAGGGGATTACAACTGAGATGAAAAAAAAATGTACAAAATGATGTAAAGATAAACCATTATATTATATATAAAAAAAAAGATTAGAGAATGAGAATCAGAGTGCCAGATAAGTCTCAAAACTATTCCAATGTTCCAAGGAAAAGGGTGTGAAGCAAAAACATCCGTGACAGAGGGACAAGTGAAAAAAAATCTATCATCTGATAGATTCAACTGATATTTCACAGACCTGGTCAGCAGATTTACAAAGGTGAGAAAACGGGGAGACTTAGAGGTGAGATGCTTAGCCTGTGTGGATGCCTGAGGGGTTATACAAAGCACCGAGCAAGCAGACATAGTTCCAGGAGACGGACATGAGTTGACTGACAGTTGTCCAGCTGCAATATCAGTAAAACTGGTAGAAAGCTTGGGCTAGAGCTCACGAAACTCTCAGAATCATCTAAAAAAATTAAGTCGTTGTTTATCATCAGCACCTCTAACAGAGATCACCAAGATTGTGACTGTGAGGGGGTGGGGGGCAGTAACTGGCAGAAGCCTGTTAAATCTGTCCTTTTCTTGCTTGACTGGAGCAGGAACTAACAATTTTGCCATTTCGACTTGCCTTTCAGGGTCCACTGGGCTGCTGCCTCCTCTCTGCCATCACTGTCACCCAGGAAACAGCCCGGATGCCTCATTCCTTCTACTTATTTGTATCTCAAATCTGGTTGTGTCGATGAGCTAGTTAAGTTGTCCTCTGCGCTCTACTAACCGACTTCCTTCTACACAGAACTTTATCCATTACTCAACCTTTAAAAAATGTAGAACAATTTCTTCTTTTGAATGGGCCTTCTTCAGATCTGTCAATACTCTTTAAAATTTTTTTATTTATGCATACAAGAACTTGGGTGCAGGCCAGAGGCGCGAGGTGGGGGTGGGGGGGAGGTGGGGTTCACCAGAGACGGAGGGGAGAACAGAACAGAGGGAACTACTTAAGTACCCAGCTGAGGGGAGCAGCCAGGAGGTGGGAGAGGTCTGCCGGCCCCTGTGGGCCAGCGGCTGGGGATCCTAACTGTGGTAGCCTCCGTGGTGCTGAGATTTAACCCCTTGCGCCACCCGGGAGGCATCTGAACCTGTCAATACTCTTGAATGGACCAGACATTTTTAATCCCTGGGCATAAATAGAAAAACTGCCTACTTCGGCGTTAGTGTGCGGCGTGGAAGCGCTGGTCAGATGTAAGCCCCGCCAAGAGAGCGTTCTGAACGGGTTTCCCTTTTAAAAGCAGAGTAGACCAAAAATAAACCTGACAAAGGGAAGCTGTAGAGTTTTAACATGTGGAAAACTCCACAGGCGGCAGTTATGTAACTGAAACGAAACATGATAAATATTTTACACCGGTTAGATGAACGTCCAACTCTTGACACGAGAAAAGCAAAGAACACAAAACGCATCTTAACTCTGCACGCCGCAAAAAGCTTACCCAGAGACGGGCCAAAAAGCTAGTGCTAAAATCTGAGACAAGCCTCCCAGCTCAAGTCTTGAGGG